GCAACCAGGGGACCAATTGCGTTACTGAAAACAAAAGATAAGTTAAATTGCTTGAAGTGCTTAAGATTATAAAGCATTCTTAAATCTTTTTTGAGCACTGTGCAGTACAATGCTGCATTACCTGACATCATTTCCTCCGTGAGCAAAGGAGCCAAAGCAGGCAGTGAGAATTTGAAGGAACTGGAAGAGCATTGACACTTCAGGTCTGTCAGCATCGGCTCTATCCTCGTCCAAAGAACTACGGCTGCTCCCAGCATCATCATCGGCAATCTCCAAAGCAACCTCACCATCACCGAGACCTTCAGGTGCACCATTCTCCGCCACTGCGTTGCAGTAACTCGTGTAGCTGTCCATGCGGATGCGCTTCCTCTCATGAGCACTGGCATTTTCCTTGTCTCCATCTTCAGAACCACGGAAGTCAGCTTCTTTGGGCTTGAAGTCTCCGTGCATACCGATGATGGCCATGGTGTAGGAGGTGTAGCTGTTGTTGCGGCGGATGGGCCGGTCGCCACCCTCCCCCATGCAGTCTCCCACTTTTGCCAGATGGAGTTTGTGCAGCAGGTCCTTGTAGAGGCCGGAGTCCTTGTGAACTGTGTGGTACTGAGAGTAACCATTGCTAGGAATGTGAGTGGGGCCGGTGGTGAAATGAGCATGGGCAGTCTTCGGAGCTGCTAGAAACAGAATCAAGTTACATGATCGATCTTCGACAAAAACAGTAAACGTACGTCATGATTGACATGGCACGCGAGGCCCTACAGACTCACCACTGCCCGTCTCTGACTCTTTGCAGTCCTTCTGATCTGCGTCATCTGAATCTCCAATGTCAAAGGTGACCCTGCGCTCCTCAGAAAGAGGAGGGGCCGAGGGGGTGATAGAGGGCATGGCACTGGACTCCTCAGGGACAGGTTTCAGGATGGGACTGTGAGCTTCATGCAGCTCCCTCTTCTCCATCAGAGGGCTCTCAGTGGGACTGGAAGACTTTACTTCACCTGTATATCAAATAAGATAGATGGTCAGCTCCAAACTTGCTAGCAAATATAAAAAAGGTAACAGACGAGTACCTTAAATTTGCACAGATAACGCAGAAATAAACATCCATTTAATTAATTTATATTATAATACAGGGGCTTTCAATCTTTTAGTTGCCACAGACCTCCCAAATATGATCATCCTCATATACTGAATGAACACAAAATATTTAGAAAAGACTGTTTTCATTACATTTTTCTACTCACTATTTTTGTATTCATTAATTAACGTCTTATTTATATACTTTTATCCATCTGAATTCAATTTTATTGTTTTGTTTTTTCTCATACGTCATCAGCCCGGAGCTGCTTCTATGTACAACTGCCCAAGCTAGATTAAAGTGATTATTACGTTTTGAATATGGATATTTTTCTTACAAAAACACATCTATTTGCTACAGGAGGCCTTTGTTCACCCCCCGGAGCCGTGTGAGAGACTTTTTTAATGTATGGGCGCTTTTTATTTAACTTCTTTTGGACTGATGCATGCAACACCCGCTGAGTGGCATTAAACGGCTTGAAAGATCAAAGACAATTTTTTTAATATAACTCCCCGACTGGATTCGTCTGAAAGAAGAAAGTCATACACCTAGCATGACTTGAGGGTGATTAATTCATGGGCTAATTGAAAATTTTACTTCCCCGTCAACACCTCAGCTGGACCACGGCTATTCCAGTTCACTAGCCAAAGACCAATTATTGGATCACTCTGACCCAATTAGGCTGTCAGTGCACAGCCAGACTATACAGCTTTAGATAAAGACTAGATGACTTGGTTTGTTTGTGTTAAAGAATGGTATTACAACAAACAGACCATCCTAACCTAAAGCTGGTATTTCTTGAAAGTGCATTTTGTTCAAATATTTTGTGTGTTTTTGTCCGAACATATGCTTGCCATTAAAATTCAGTTACCGTGAACTGTAACTGAGATAAGGTTGTTAAAATACTTTTTACTACATTTCACAACTAACCAAATAAACCCAGTACTTTTGCATGGCATGTGCAAGGATACAGGAAAATGATAATTTATCTGCTCCAGCCATGAAACAATGGCGGACTGATGACCGCTCACTCAGGGCGGGTCTGAGGTAAGACACCAGTCCAGTCTGTGCTGAAACGCTACGGTCAATCAAACTATCGTGGGAGGGGCCTGTCTGTGTGACATCACACAGACAGGCATCTGAGATCGGCTCGATTTGAGGAAGGTGAAAACATTTAACCAGATTAAAAAAAAAACACTGGGTGAATTTTTATCATTATAGGGTGGTTGTGTACACACACTGCCAACACACATTTCAGTTCAAACAACTTGTAAAAGTGCATGTAGCATCCTATGACCCCTTTAAAAGGCTTTTGCGGCAAGATATCCCCCCCACCTCTTTGGGAGGATGGGTGGGGGGAAAAAAATGTTACCACTCCTATAGCAAGGTTGAGCCAAAACTGCGGTGTTAGCTGCGGTGATGAAGAATGCATGCTGCATGCTCAAGGAAGAGTGCTGGCTGAGCAAGTCGGCCATTTACGTATTCCCCACAGGGTCCAAAACCACAGACAGACAAAAAAAGAAATGCCTCAATATAGGTTCACAAGACCAAAAAGGGGGTGAAAAAAAAAGGTACTAGAAATATTCAGAGTAAGACTTTGTCCAAATGAAACTGAAAAAATATGGCCTTATTAGAGTAGGGCTGTGAAAAATAAACAGAGGTTGAGAGATAAGAGGACAGGGAGCAGTCGGGCATAAACTCCCGTGCCTTGCCACATGCATGCACTACTGCAGGGAATGCTGTGCCGCTGCGTGCTTTGGTTATGCAACTTTAGTTCAATCTCAGGAGACAAGACACAAGGAGCACCACACTCTTTGAATAGAGCACTGAGGTATGTGAGGAACAGCTGAACTTTCCCCAACACCCAAATGACTTGGCAGCATCTAAAGGGACTGAACAGGTGTGGCCAGAGGAGGTGAGGGGGTGAATGACGGAAATAAGAGAAAGGCCAACGAATAGGGCCCAGTTATCAAGTCTGGCAGTCTGGCATGGTTCCTGCTCATGGTGTGAAAATGCAGCCCTGTGCATGCGAGTTAGGCAGGGAATGCATTCATGCTCACATCAACGTAGTCTGACAAACACTCCCCCACAAAAGGGGGAGCAGCCAGACCACAATCATGCAGTGGGATGAATGAATGGAAGTGGCTTCATTTCCTGCTTCACCTCGCAATAAAATGTGCTATCCCATGGCCTTTATTACACAATAACACGAGTTGTTTTTCCAGACACGTTCAGCACTATACCTCATCCTGGTTACGGGATGATGGTTTATGAGTCATTGAGGGCCGGGCACTGGTGTTTATGCCAATTATGTCATTTGTGGTCTTTGACTGCCTCGTGTCTGTTCCAAAAGTTCCAAGCATTTTTTTGATAATTAACTGACATCATGAAATAAACTTTTATGGTGTCATAAAATTCTACCTTTGTAGCACCACCAGAATGTTGTTTGGTGTCTGTTGAGACACTCAGTTTTTTGACCCCTGCTACCAATATTAGCACCCACAAATGATTCGGTGTTTTAAATAAAATTTTCTTTTTGACACTGTAAACTGTTTTGAGTCCTGCTGAATAAGTCTGGCCAAATATAAAAACATTCAATTTCAAATCCACAAGTCTGTTATTGCTGCCTTTCGTGTTTGCTTTATATCCCCAGGGAAACCAAAACACCCCACTGTCTGTTTTTCCAAAGGGGAAGCAGACCGGAAAACAAACACTGAAGTACTGGGGGCAGGAGGGTGTAGCCAATCATCATGTTCCTTATTCTTAAATTAGGAATATGAGTAATACAAGTTAAGGCTGGAATACACTATACGACTTTTAAAAATCAGAACAGATTTTAAAACTCTAGGCATCAGACACTTGATGTATCAAATGGTTACAGAAAAATTAAGCATAATACAGTAACTGGGGTTCACGCACTACCATTCTATCAAAACGTCATGAAAGCAATAAACTAATGCAGAAACATGTGCCTCGTTGCTAGGAGACGCACGACAAATGAAAACAACGCATTCTAAAATCGGCTTAAAATGTTAAACAAGTTTGATCTCCTCTGACTGGATAGAATCACAGTCTGAAGTCTGTGCCCATCATGCAGCAGAGTTTTTTTGGGGGAAATATGGCAACTGTCCCTGCCTAAAATCTGCAGACTAGCTCTGACTTTTGGCAACTTGTATAAACTTTCAGAAAAAAAATCTGGGAAAAAAAAGTCATGTTGTTTATTAAGAGAAGTTATTTTAAAAACTAGTTGACTAACTAAACAGAGTAGAGAGGAGAACTAACAAATAATTGTTTGCCTACTCAGATCTCAAATGCTGAGGGCTGCTGGCATTAAAAACAGAAAGAGGGCTTGTGTGTCATCTGTATTTTGCATGGGGAGAACTTTCCAGGCACTGTGGTTGCTGAATGACCATATGTCTGTGTGCTGAAACTGGGAGCAGGGGTGGGTTATAGCACATGATTAACAAAGTGTTGAGAGGCACCATGTTTGGGAAATGGAGTTATTAGAAATGGATCCCCGAAATGATGTGCGTATCACGCTTATATATATCACAGGCCACAGTAGTTTGAATGGATTCAACTTTTTGTACAGTATGTGAGTTGGAGTGTGTTGTCACCATCATACTGCATAAATGGTTAAAACCAGAAAAACAAGGTGTTCCAAGTACCAGCGCAAACACTCCGCTTCAAGGAAACTCGACCTAGTTACATACTGTCTGAAATTTTACAGGGCATGTGTGTCTGTGTTCAGCTCTCTTTAGGAGACAAAGGAGGTCGATCAACAATTCATGACATGCCACATGCCTCAACCCCCCCTGGTGAGTGCTGGTATTGTCCGGTCCTGTCCTGTCCTGGGAGATGCTCTGGATTAAATGAACCTGAGTGAACTGCCTTAAACAGGCTGAGAGTGGGAGGAGTGAAGGGACTGTGTCTGGTGATGCGGTTCCTTTAAAGCTAATCCAACAGCAGATGACATGACGATGTCACTAAGTGAGGCCAAAGATCAGGATAAGCTTATGTTAAGATGTTTCTACTATGACTAACTACATTAACCTGAATTGGTGTGGGAACTTGAGAGGATACATGTCTTTGACCTGGTGCGCTCAAACAACTTACATGACGTGTGTGTCAGCTGATGAATTTGGCTGAAGAGAAAACTCATTCTGATTGATTCAGAGTCCTGAAGTGACACTGGAATGATTAAATGGGCTCTAGAGGACAGCCTTTTAATTTTGAGAGGCTATTAATCTTTAAGGTCATTAGAAATTGTGCTCAGTGTGTCAGATGAAAACCACTACACATTATCTGAATGGACTAAGCATTTAGCATTAATAAGTCAAAAGGTTTTTTTAACAATTAAACTTAATCTTTATTACTTAACTTTAATTTAAGTACTTAACTTAAGGACTTTATTTAAAAACATACTGACTTCCCATAACTAACTTACATAACTATAGACCAGGGGTGGTGAACGTCAGTCCTGGAGAGCCGCAGCCCTGCAGAGTTTTGCTTCAACCCTAATCAAACACACCTGAACAAGCTAATCAAGGTCTGAAGGGTTACTAGGAAGCTATAGGCAGGTGAGTTTTTATTAGGGTTGGAGCGGAGCTCTGCAGGACTGCGGCTCACCAGGACCAGAGTTTGCCACCCCTGCTATAGACTGTCCAAATAATAATAATAATAAAAACTTTCTCTGAAGCATTACATAGTGCATTAGGATGTCTAAGGCCAACGGTATGCGTGTTGCTATGTGAATGCGTGTATGCTGCACCTTGCTGTGCCTATGCAAAGCGCACCCGCCTGGGAGTGCATGCGTGTACACACTCAGAGGGTGCATATTGCGTCATACTCTGGCCTGAAGCCTTCATTTAACGGCCCAGGCCAGTTGAGTTCTTGAATTGTTGAGCCCTGTGGGTAAGAGAAAACAAAAAGGAGCAAAGGTTGCTCATTTAATAGGGTTTCAAATTCAAAAGGCAAAAGTATTGAGAGCTCAACAGTTAACGGCACTTAAAAATGTGGTGCTTTCTCTACTGTGGCTGACGTTTTTTTTTTTGATGGACATGAATTCTTTATTCCACTGTTTTTTTCTCTCCTATGATGGAGAAGGAAAAAACACTGACTGAGATCATGAATACAGGCACCACATGTCCACGTCATGAGTGCTCCACTGAGTTCTCCAGAGCCCACTGGTTAAACACTGCTTTGCCTTATGCACTGTAAACACAGTCTGGCAGAGTCTGGGCATCTGGTTAGGGTGTTAATGGACATGCAAAAGGCAGACATAGAGCGATACTCACTCGGTGCTCCAGTAAACATAATGGAGAACAGGTTGATTCCCATTGTAACAGCGTAGAAGAAAGGCAGGGCCCTCAGACCATTGGGCACTGGATCTTTCTGCAAAGGACAAAGTACACTCTTAGCCAACACCCAGCTTTGGCATGACCTTATAATATTCTTCTTCTACATTCACAGAAAACTGAGTTTAAAGATAAGATCATTTTATTTACCTTTTGCAGGATGAACTTGCGAACAAAGTAGAAAAGAATGGCAGACATTATGCCAGAGAGGACAGGTGAGAGGAACCAAGAAGCAACTGTAAGTGAACAAAGACACGTTAGGAAACAAACATCTCCAGTTTCTTGACTACCAAAATAATCATACAAGTGCAACTACAAATGGATCGTTCTTGTGAATGCAGCTGACTCACCAATTCTAAGAAGCTCCAGCCATTTGACGCCCTGCTGACCTTTGGCGACCAGTGAAAAACCAATGGTAGCTCCCACAATGCAATGGGTCCCAGAAATAGGAAGCTTCAGAAAAGAAGCAAACAACTGCCAAACAGCAGAGCCTGAAGGCCAGTGAAAACGAAAAACTTAGAGAAACCTAAATTTTTCATATAAAAAAAATCATTAATATATAACAAACAAGTAGTAAGCTTCATAAACTACTCACCAAACATAGCGCTGACTGATCCAGCCATCAACACGTGCTCCGTGCCGTTGTACATGGTCACGTCGATTATGCCATTGCGGATGGTCTCGCTGACCTTGGCTCCAAGCAGCACAGAGCCCAGTGTCTCAAAGACAGTAGCAAGAATACAGGCCTGCTTAAGGGTAACTACACCTGAACCCACTGCCGTACCAAACGAGTTGGCAACGTCATTAGCACCCACCGAAAAGGCGAGGATAAATGCTATGATGAAGCCTACGACTAGGAGCCATAGATAATCTGTCAGAGCCCCTTGAGTGGCAAGGGTGGTCAAAATCGTTACTGTGGCCAGAGTTGTCGACACCATTGTGCGTATATGGTTTTCAAGTTATATGGGGGGGGGGGACTTCACAATCTTACAGGGAAGAGAACCAAATATGTATAAATAATTTAAGCAGCAGCACACTGGATATTTTAATCCCCAGAAAATTGAGGTACTCAATGTTTCTAAATCAGTTTTCTGCCTCAGACCTACCTTCACCCCTTCGCTAAACCAGCAAATCAAAGCAATCCAGACACCAGAGAGAATCTGCACTGCTCTGCTCTAAACTGATGTGTAACGTTAAGGGAGAGGGTGGAGTGAGGGCCTATTGCTATCCTCTGAATAGACTAGATCTGTTACAGTTTGCTTTGGCTTGGGCAATTAGGCAGACAGAGCGGACATCCATTGTGCAACAGACACGGTGGGTGAATGGTAGCTCATTCCTGGGGGGAAAAAAAAAAAGAGAGGAGAAAGTGGGAAGGTTCCCATGTTATGCAACAATTTCACTGCAGAGGGGCCAGAACTTGGACATAAGTCTATTGGCGCTTTTCCACTGCGTGGTACGACTCGGCTCGGCACGGTTTCCGTTTCCACAGCAGTTCAGTACCGCTTTAGAGCGGCCGGGATTATTCACATGTCATTATAGTTGCGCCGCCTTTATTGCCGCGACTCCTGAAAACCTTTTTCATTCTGCGTCACCCCATCAAGCTCTCACTGGATCTGCTCCTCTGCCATCAACGAGAGGAACGTCTGTACTTCCTCAAACAACGAAACAGCCACTTTTTGGTTGTTAAAGGGGTCCTATTATGCTTTTTCCCTTTTTTAATTTTAGTCAGCGTGTAGTGCGTTTGGGCATTAAAAAAAAAAAAGTCCACACACAAAGTCCACTCCAAAGGGAGATATTTCGGGTTTTTTTTAATCCCTTTTCAAGAACTACAACGAACGTCTCGTTTGGACTACAGCATTTGTTTTCCAGGCTTTGTGATATCACAAAGTGGCTCAATGGAATATCATTACAAAGAATTCCCGCCTACAGAAATTCGAATGGCTGGGGGGGGGGGAGGGGCGAGGTCGTGCTTAGAACGCTTGGTTGAGTGAGTGCATCAGACGAGACGACGAAGAAGAAGTGCTGCTGCAGAGTTAGAGCATCAGAGAAAACGAAGAGGAGCTGCTGTGCTGTAGCCTCAAATTTTCGGCATGTCTAGAAAAATTCTTACAAGTGTAACACGACGTATCTGGCCGTATCATTTTGTTTTTCGGAAGGTGGACCTTCATCAAAGCCGGAACTAATCGAGCCATTTGTGCCAGGATGGGGAGAAAGGTATTTTAATCATGTAAAATATGTGAAAAATAATGCATTTTTCGAACCACCAAGCAAGAGAGCATGTTCTAGTACACCCCCGAAACAAAATCAAGACACGCGACGTTTCTGGCCGTATCATTTTGTTTTTCGGAAGGTGGACCTTCATCAAAGCCGGAACTAATCGAGCCATTTGTGCCAGGATGGGGAGAAAGGTATTTTAATCATGTAAAATATGTGAAAAATAATGCATTTTTCGAACCACCAAGCAAGAGAGCATGTTCTAGTACACCCCCGAAACAAAATCAAGACTTTGTAAAAGCGCATAATAGGACCCCTTTAAGAAAAAAAACCCATCATGTGGTATAAAGGTTTTTCCATATGTAACCAGCATGATTATTACATTTCTAAAGAAGTGTTCTAATATGTTTAATGTTTATATTAATCTTTGCTCACACTTCTAGGATCCAGTCAGCCCCTTTCTGCTTCCAGAGGAAGTATGTGAAAAATAATGCATTTTTCGAACCACCAAGCAAGAGAGCATGTTCTAGTACACCCCCGAAACAAAATCAAGACTTTGTAAAAGCGCATAATAGGACCCCTTTAAAAAAAGGTGCGCTTGCTCAAAACAGTTGCGTTCGATCCTTCGCTGGCTGTGCGGATTTAAATTGAGCGATTCTGCTGTGTTTGTGTGGCAGGTAGTGACGATTCTCTCCGGCCAATCCGTGATCAGCAGAGTTTACACGTCACGTTTTGGTAACGGTATGGTTCACTTGGAACCTCAACCGAGGTGGTAGTAAAAAAAAAAGTACCGGGTACTGTACCCAGTGGAAAACAACCCAAAAGTGAGCCGTACCATGCAATGGAAAAGCACCATATTACACACTAAAGCAGTACTAGCTAGGCCTGTCACGATAACAACGTTTTGTTGTGCGACATATTGCCCCAGAAATAATTGTGATATTATTAGCGATATTATTGTCATATTAAAGACCATTTTATGCCACTGAATATATAATCATAATGTAACGGCATAATAATGCAAGAAGGCCTACACACTTCCAAATGACAACAAACTTTTAATTTTTAAGAATATTTAGATCATGAAAATTAAGTATCAAAATATAAGATACCTTAAAAAACCTGAATAAATAGTAAAACATTTTCTAACAAAATGCGCAAAGTAACAAGTACAAAAAAAGAAAAATGCACAAAACTTGGAGATATTTTCCATCTACATATTTTTTCCTGACCTTCTTTTCTTTGTGAATTGAGGGTGCACACTATTGCTGAGAAACACAATCACTACTTAACAGTCAGATGTCCATATGCACAAAGGCACAGATCCCTAAACAAGACCATATCTGCATATGAAACTTTTTTTGCAGATGCACTTTTTAAATTTAAACTAGCACCTCATGACTACACCACGTTATGTACGAGAAGGTGCAAAAGACACAGGTGCAAGTGGAATGTACAAAAAGTGGTGACATTCATTTTTAAGTAAATATAATGGGCGATATATTGCGTCACCAAAAATTATTGAGGTCATGCATATATATTGCGCGACAAGTCGATATATTGACAGGCCTAGTACTAGCAGTACTTTTTTTGCATATTGCAGAGCTGAAGGTCTCTAGAAAACTCTTTCACTGTACAAAAAAGGGGCGCATCGAGAACAGACAGAATGCATGCATGCATGATCATACAACAAAACTCTTTAAAATAACATCTATACACCATATGGCAACTGATTACGCATTAACTAAAATCGATGGCTTTTTGGTTACAATAATCAAGCCAATACGTTCAAGGTCACAATATGTAGCACTACAAAAACAGTGATCAAAGTCAATCGGGACACTTTGCTTTACAAGCCCGAGAAGGCTGCGCTTTGGTTAATATTTTAAGCTCTGTGACAACAAACAGCGACTACTATTCAAACCGTCAGCGCATCGGTGTCATGTGGCTTTCCAGTACATTCCTGCAATGCAGAATTTATTGGCAAAGAAACGCAGAAAGTAAATGATGAAATGCGGTTGACTGTCACTCTAGGGCTGTTTGAGCCAGTTCTCCCCGCTCGCGCTAGACACGCACTTCCTCGCTAACGTTAGCTTGAGGAACCAATTTACTCGAGAACAACCAGAAAAAAATTACCGCTTTAAGCAGTTACAATTCGTTGATATTAACGGAAAATAAAATCTTACACTATTTCAATATAAAAATGTTGTAGGGCTTTTTAGGTTAACAAGGCAATATCCATCTTTTCCGAGAGCGCCGGTGTTCTGATGATTTGTGCTACCCTGTCAGATTTAGCTAACGTTACCTCCCGTTAAAACAGACGGTAGCATTAACGTTACTCGATAGCGAAAAGTGCTACAAATCAGATTTTGCTTCCAGCATGATATTAATAAGGTGTGAGGCTTTATTAACATGTACACTACCCTTACAGTAGGATAAACACCGTGTTGGTAGCACAATCTGATAGGTAACGTTAGCATGGCTCGTCTGAACACCGGCTCCGCACTAACGTTACACGTGTCGTCATTCATTCACGCCCGTAACAGATTATAAACCGGAGACGTTATTCATCACAACCGCTTTATTAAAATACCAAAATAACCCCAAAAATAAATCCTTTACACATATAACAGCATGTATCCGTGACACGGTGTTGTTAAGTAACCGTAAAGAGACCTTGGCATTTTTTTCCACGTTTAAACATCGCGAGTCAGCTGACAAAGCCACGCGCTCGCGCTCAATCTAACCGTTTAAATAAGCCAAAGCAACGTCGATGAGAAAGTAAGACAAATATCACTCACTGCCAACTAGAATAACTAAAAAATATGTTTTTTACTCACCACTCAGAGAAAACCGTCGATAAATGTCGATTTAGATAACTGTAGCCCGCCCAGTTAACTTCCCGCAGCCGCTTTCCGCGGAGTAAGACAGTCAATGCTCTCGCTCTTTCCGAAGCACTAACGTCGGGTAAATGAAGTAAATGCAAAGCTTAAGACGACAAACAAGACACTGCTAGCTGTGTTAAGCTCTCGAATCAATGAAAAAATCGCAATAAACCTCTTTCAGCCGGCCCCAGATGATGAGCTCCTGCTGGTCCACGCAAGACGTATATCATCCGAGCGCGAGGGCGGGGCCTACTGCGGTGGGTAGTGACGTCAAAGGACAGACCCCGCCCTCTGGGCGTATTTGGCGATGGAAGCAACAGACTACTTAACCTTACACTTGTCGACCATTACTACTACTCTGGAACTATACAATCTGTAGAATGCCAAATCTGTAGAATCCAGACATCTACTCCAAATGTTTAAAGAATGTAATTGAGTCATTTGTTTTGGAATTTCATAATTCATTTGGTATTTATGTGAGAATTAAAATAAAATTATATATATATAAAAAAAGATTTAGAAAAAGGAGAACAGATATATATATATATATATATATATATATATATTCAGAAATGTGTTGTTCACAAATATCTAAATCTAGTCTGTTTCTTTAATACAGTCTCTTAATTATTAAAGAATGGGACAATCATTGTGTATATATAAAGATAAAACTGAATTGTTGTCCTAAACCTAAATGTTGTCTGTTAGTGATTATTAATAGTCATGTGTTGTACTGTCAGATTTCAAAGGCGTTTCTTGTTTATTTGTATCCCCTGTGACTCTAATTTTCTCCAGTTCCTCTCTTGGGTTTTCGGAAGTCACGAGATAGACTGAGATGAAACTCTGTGAAGGTGATGCTTCAATTCCTGCACGCTGTGCTAGAACTCCCCCATGTGGCCACAGAAAAAAAGTGAGCTCAATGGAGTATTTCTCCCTTCAGGAGCATAGGATTTTTGTGCTTCAGATAGGACCAGT